TGCAAGACATCATCAGGTATAACATTGGCCGCGCCGAGGTGTTCGGCGAGGTGGTCGATGATGGGCTCAATGAGATCGAGGTCCGTCGTCTTGAAGAGGCGTAGCGCACGTAGCAGGCGGGAGAAGCTTGGTGGGGGAAATGAGCGCAGCATCGGCAGAATGAGCGGCGCAGTTGTGGGGCGTAGGTACTGTTGGTGCGGGGCGCCGAAACGTGCGAGAACGAGAAGCAGCTTGGTGAACATGGAAGGCTTCAGCTCCGTCAGCCGCCTGAACCGCTCACGAGCCTTCACTACCTGGAGCAGCTGCGGGTCGAGGTCGCCCATCATCGTAGCGGCATCACCATGCATCGTGGACTGCGATGTTTCTTTCTTTTCTGTATCGCCTCGGCCTTCTTCGACTGTAGCATTAACGCTAGGGGCAACCCCTGTGTCTTTGCTGCGTCGCAACTCATCCATCCGCTGCTGTTTCCTCTCCGCTTTGACGTTGGCATCGATGGTCTCAAAGATGCAGTTGGTGAGGAACCTGAAGCTGTTCATCTGGTCGTGCCCCATCTTGTAGAGATTCACGAAGGCGCGGTAACTTGGCAGCGCGCCCAGCGGCTTGCGTTTGTTGAGCACTGCGAAGCGGCGGCCCAGCAGCGCGAGGAATCCCTTCGGCGGCACTATCTTGGCGCGCGCAAACGCCGTCAGTACGCGCACGAGGTCGTGGGGATCTTTGTAGTGGTTAATGTGGTGCACGAGAAAGATGCCAAGTGCCTGGAAGAACTGCAGGTCGCGCTTGCGCCGGCCGGCGCTCATGCCCATAACGACGATGCAGCGCAGCACGCCGTCCGCGTTCATTTCGTCACGCGCCTGCAGTAGAATGGGGTCCTCCGCGCCCTTAGTCGCCTCGTGCGTGTAAACCGAACCATCGTCATCATTATTCACAGCAGCGTCATCGTCAATCCCATCGTTGTCGTTGCCGTTGTTGGAGGCAGCGTCCAGATGCTTTGGTTGCGCTGGGGCGCCCTTTGCCGCCACCGACGCGATGACGGCGATGCGATCACGTACCATGTCTTTAAACAACGTACCGTACCGCACGAGTGTGGAACGGGCCCAGTGGCACTCTACGATGTCAAGCATCTGCCCAACGTGAAGCTCGTTGAGCCGCTCCATGATGACAGGGAAAAGGGCGTGCTCCTCATCAGCTGATACAAGACGTGGGTTTTCCGTTGCGCGAAGATATAGCGTCACCATCTCTACCAATTCCACGGGGTTGAGTGAGCGTAGAAAATCCTGCCTCTCAAAGATGCTGCCGGCAAGAGCACCACAGGCCGCTGCCTCCTCTTCCTGCAAGACAGGATCGACGAGCGGACCTGACGTGGTTGGATACGCCTCCTTCGGCGAGATGGAACCTTCGCCACCATCCTCTTCTGCAAAATCGGCGTGTCTCTCCCTGCTACCCTTATTCCGGCAGATGTCTCTCCCCGTTTCATCGTCTTCATCATCATTGTCACCCATGTCACTGAAGACGTCTCTGCGTTCTCGAGCACGGCCACCAGCCACAGCATCAGCAGCCGAGGCAAAGTACATCGGCTCGACGATGACATTCGCAAGAATCGAATCCCCAGAGGAGGCAGCCACTTCAACCTCGACGGCGTGCAGGTCCGCCATTTCCGCGTCGGTCGGTGCAACACGACGAACGCCGCGACGCGGCTTTGTTGGAGCCGGGCCGCCACCGTGCGTGCCACCTTCTCCCTGCGTCGCGCACCACGCCACAGCACAAGCAATGCTGCTTCGGTACAGCCGGCTAGTGAGCGCAGCACGGGAGCAACGACGATACATCACTGGGCCACACCGCCTAACTTCTTGTCGCTGGACTGGTTTGGGGCTGGCCCTCTGTTTTCTGTGAAGATTCTGGGCCAGGCATCAGGGAGCGTGGCGCGCAGGTAGTGACGAACGAGTACATACAGAGAGTAAGAGAGAGAGAAAGAGAGTCAGAGAGAGACAAACACACAGATGCGGAGAAATGCGATATTCTGCAAAATCAAACACTTTGTTATCGACAGAAAATGATTCTGATGTATTCTTGATTTAAAAATGCGTGATCACATTAAGTGTGGATTCCTCTGTTATTGCCGTCAGTCGTCAGCACTAGTATAGAACTGTCGCCAGCATCTTCTGTGCGACATCCCGCTCCTGCTGCCCGCCGAACCGTCGGGCCAGCTCGCTAATGTACTCCCACAGCCGGCGCTGCTGACGCGCCAACAGCAGCGGGGAATTCTGTACGAGTTCCTGAAACTTCCGTACTTTCGCCGCATCGCAGTGGCGCTGGCCGAGAAGACGCAGTACGTCGTCATTGGAAGAGGTCGGCGATATCTTCGCCCTCTGAAGACGTGCATCAATTATGGCGCCGACATGCTTCTCAACCCACGCTGACTGCGCGTTTGGAGGTAACGTCAGCGTGCCGTCGTCTGCAGCTGTGTGGCGCAGGTGCACCTGCTTCATGATACTTGCCCCAGTAAATATGTTGTACAAGCCGACACGGCGAAAGGTCTCACAGAAATGCTGCTCTTCAAGATTCGCCAGTGGCACGCGCAGGATCATTTGCCGCTCGTAAGCGAAAATAAGATAGTCGTATACCTGCCGCACAGCCCTAGGCGCCTCCCCTACGCGTGGATCACGATCGTTCCCTGCATTCCGCGCAGCCATATCAGCAGCACTACTATCAGGGACGTTAGTTGTTGTTGATGTTGAAGTGGCAGCATTGCCCTGCAATGGTACGTCTGCTTCATCATCAAACATGTCATCACCCTGCGCGTTCCTCGCGTTGACCAACACATTACGCTCCTCGCGCAGTTTAGCTGTGAGGGGGTATTGCGGCTGCTGCCGCATTCCGAGTATAACGGTGTGCTCCAGCATGCGTGAGACGATGGAGGTGGGCACCACGCCAAGGGCCATCATGGCGCTTAGCGGCGCGGCGAAACCCTCCACACACATACGCACCCGCACACCCACAGACGACGACGGTGCGTACCGTCGCGAAAGCGCGTACAGCAGCTCCACCCAGCCAAGAACCTGCGATGCACGCATGCTCCACCTGTACGTGTTGCAGAGGTTGGTAATGTGCTCCACAAACGGTGCGAGTGTCAGCTGCGACAGAAGCGCCGGCTTCTGGAGAACCGTCCGCAGCGTTGCCTTGGAGAGGCTGAGCGCGCACGGATACGTGACGCCGCGCCGCACAATAGCGTCCATAATAGCCTGCACCAGCTGCGGCGAGTCGCAGCGCGTGCGCCTCACGCTGGACGTAAGAAGCATCAGCTGTTCTCGGTTAAGGTACTGCACCATAGGTGCAAGTAGGCACTCCGCCACACGCACCAACGACACGTGAAACTGGACGCCGAGCTCACCGGCAATGTTGAGGAGCGACAGCAGCTCGGCCGGCGACAGATCAGACGCCTTCTGCACGCGCCGCACCACCGCCTGCCGCGAGAGTTGACGCTCCGGCGTTTTGGGAACAGCTGCATTCATCGCCTCAGCTTCAAAAGCAATGTTCTTTAACGCTCTGTCCACGAAGTCAAAGACTGTCGGCACATCACCGCACCACCTCTCTTTCCGCAGCACACGCAGCGCACGAAATAGCTGTCGTGTTGTGAGTCCAGAGAAAACGTGGCCAACTCGTGTGCGAGTGGAAGTCATAGTTTTCTTCGCACCATTTCCCCCTGCGACGCGTCCATCCACGTCGATCGCGTCACCGACCTGATCCCGCAGCGAGCGATTCAACTGCGCAAGCTTATCGAGCACGCGTCTCCAGAAGTGATCCGGTGCGTGTGTCCGGGCGTCGTTCACAGCCCACATAAGCTGAATCAGCACCTCTGGGTCATCGAGCGTCTTTATATCTGACAGCGCGCACTCCACTACGGAGCCCATGAGCGCCACGTGCCCGGTAAAAAGACGCGGACACTGCACCAGTATCGTCCGAGCATCTGGCGCCGTGAGTTTTCCCTCCTGCAGCAGACTAGTCACCCACGCAAGAACACTCTTCACCAGAAATGCATGGTGGCGGCTCCCCGAAACGTCCATCAAGTGCTCCGGCCACCGTGGGCGCAGCAGCCGTGCTGCCACCGCGAGCGGCACGCCGCGCCCCTCCACAATGTTCGTTGCCTCGTTCAACAGCACGTCCCACTCCAGCGGTGAGAGATGCGTCTTCTGCTCCCGCATCCGCACATAGTAGCGCCGCACAGAGAGCAGCTTGGAGCGGCAGAGCTCATTCAACTGCTCCTCGCGGCGAATGTAGAGACTGAGAGCGTCGATTAACTGCACGGGCTGCAGCGTCATTGGAAATGTTGGGGTAGTGGTTTGTTTGCCACACACATCATGCTCGGAAGGAGCGTCACCCGCGTTCGCCGCCAACGTCACGCCATCACACTTAGCTGCGTCCTTCGACCGTCGTTGCAGGTCCGCCACCATCGATGTCAGACGTACACTCAGTGTAGCAGCAACCGTTGATGGCTCGTCCGCTGTCTTCGCAGCAGGAGAGGTGGCAGCGGCGGGTCCGCACATAACTGGAGTTGCTGCCACAGCTGCAGTGCTCATGAGGACACCATGTGAGTGGGATGTCCCAGCAATAACTTTGTGTGTCACCAGCGCAAAGCGTCTCATTCTTTCTTCAACTAAACTAATAGCTATTCCCACTAGTATGGACGAATCACCAAGGATAAATGGTAATTGATTTCGAAATGAACACTCCAGCTATAACATCCAAGAAACAGTATTCAAACTCTGACCGCGCAACACGAATTCGCCCACCGCCTCAGCGTGAAAACAACGCCACACTGCAGAGCGGGCAGGGCGCAGCACCCAGTCGAACTGCACGACAGCCCCAGCAGCGCCACAATACTTGTCGCCCACTAAGCACATCCTCCCGATGCGGCGGCACGCTAAGGTGTGGGTGACTTCCAGCCGCCCGCCTCTCTTCCAATATCCATCGTTGCGGCATGAACCCACGTGCCACAATGTACGTCTCTAGACTTTCTGTTTTGCACTCAGATGGGCGGTGGACATTCACGCAACTATAATACCTCTTAACGGCTTCGAGCAACGTGTTGAAGTGCGTTGAATGCATGGCCTTGGTGACAAAGGTCATTGAATCATTCGTGGATGTTGTGTCTGTGGGACATTGAGTGCCGGTGCCCTTCCTCTGTGAGGAAAAAAGAGAGCAGGAAAGTCGTAGCGCACCTAGGGCCATTTGGTTTTGTCCATACGTTACTGAGAATGCCGATTGCGCCTTCACAACAGAGACGCCGTCGTGGAGAACCACCTGCACGGACCGCCGCATCTGCTCATTGTTACTCTGAAGCTTGCGCAGTAAGCTGGCAGTGTGATTCATGACACGCACGTGGTCATTGATGTCGCACTTAACCGCAAACAAGCCCTCCATTGCAACGATCGGACGCTGGTCGAACGCCACGACAACAGGCGACGGCTTCTTTGCAGATGCTGCTGCCATGCGCTGCAGCGCCACCTGCGCAAACCCACCGGGCGCCGCTGCGAGATCCACCACAGTGGAGCAGCCGCGGCTGAAGAGATGATACGTGTCATCGAGCTCCAGCAGCTTCCATGCGGAGCGGCACCGGTACATGTCTCCTTGGCCAGAGGGAGTGTGAGCGACGCCTATGACAGCGCAGGGGTGCCACAGCATCACGCACCAAGGGTATAACAGCAAACAAAAAAAGGAGAAAAGGAAGGCACCAAATGAAAAATGCATCATAACAAAGCAGAAACATAACGCACCAAACCGCCACAACCGTCTCTGCGTAGAAATTTATATTTTTTGAACCTTCTGGTGTACAGCTATCCGTAACTTACAGTGAAAAGCAAAAAAAAAAAACAATCAGAGAGGGTGCATCACGGTAAAAAAGAGAAACCAAAAAAAAAATCACTCTATGCTTCTGTAGCGGAGTATGACGGACTTTATGGAAACGCACAATCTTTGTTCAACAGCGTATGGAAGGGGTATTCTACTCGCTACTCCCATGACGTGAGGGGTCTGACGATGCACTGCGGTGTGGAAAGTAATTCCCCAGCATGAAGCTGCTTTCCCTGAAGCACAGCGCCTTCCTTCGACTCGTTTAGCCAGCCCATCACCGCCATAATCTGTCGTACATTCCAGTACAGATTCTCCTCCATCCGGTGTTGTTTACCATCAGACTGAGGAGCAGCTCCGACTCTCGACCTTGGACGGGAACATAATCCACTGCATGTTGTTCCCTCCACGGAGAAAAAATCGGCCTCCCCATCACGAAAATATCGAAAACCACCCGGACCCTGTTTTAAGCTGTTCAAGTTCTTCGCCGTGCAAAAAGTGGACAAGGGTGAGTGAACAGATAAATCCCACACAAGTGGTGGAGGCATATTATTGATTGAGCTCATCGTTCTCGACGGACGGTGGGAGGTGCCGCAATCCACATCGTCTTTCCCACACACAGATGTGGTCGCCCCTTGCGAGCCCAGCAGAACACCGCTATGATTGGTGTCAGGCGCTAAGCGTCGCGAGGCGGCACTGGAGGGCCTTGGCAGCAGTACTGGAGACATGAACGGCTGCTGTTTCTGCTGCGGCCCAGCTTCAGCTGTGCACTTCTGCCGCACGGACGACCACAAAGAGGCAGCACTGCCGAGGGATCCCCGCAGAGTTGACGCGGAAGAATCATCGCGGTCGTGTTGAGCATCCTCTGGTGCACCTTTCTCTCGTGACTTGCCGTGGCTGTGTGTTAGCAGCGCCTTCTGCAGCATGTTCTTGCGCTGAAGTAGGCGACGCTTCTCAGTTTCCAACAAGGCACGCGCTGCCCAGAGCGAACGCGTCGGCGTGTCTAACATCTTCAAGAGAACACGCAGCGTCTTTCCACAGAGGGCGGCCTGAAATATACCCCACAGGTGGTCGGATAGGTTGTGGTACCCTTTCGCACGGCTTTCTCGATATGAAGCGAAGGAGATGTCGTTATCTCGTGTCGTGAATAAATCAGCCCGGGGACATTCCATATTCAATGAATGTGGGTCACTCGCCATAGCACAGTCTCGACGCTTCGCAATGCAGTGACCAAGCAGCTGCAGCATACCGGAGGCAAAGACAAACACATCCACTTCATACGGCGTCAATAACGACATCCCGTCCTCGTTGGGCGGCAACAACGCACTTGGGGTTCCTGTAGGGTACGCACTCGGTGACTTCACGGAGCTTCCGAAGCTGCCGAGCTTGTAATGCCCTGGGACGTAGATGAACATATTAAATGGAAGTGGATTGCCGTGTACAATTCGGGCAGCATGCAGGGCTTCTAAGGCCAGCAGGCCGTGTTGAAGGACGCAGCACCAGAAGCTCTCCTCTGGAACGTTGTGCATGGCACCCCGACGGCCTTGCGGGTCGAGTGCCCATTCCATTACATTTCCTCCCGGAAAGTACTCTGTCTGCAAGAGAAAAGCCACGTCGTCGCGTGAGTCACTTGAGACAATGCAGTATGGTGACACAGTGTAATATCGAGTAATGTGTTCCGCTGCCTGTTGCTGCAGCGCCGACATAGGAGCATTTCCAAGTGTTAAACACTGTAGTTCTGTCTGCAAGGAAGCTTTTTGTGTCTGTGGAACCTCCTTCACTGCGTACGGAAGACCATCTGTACGGTGCGTGGCTAGCCACACGATGCCGTTACGATCGAGGTGAATAGGAAGAAAGCCATGCGTATTTTTCCACGGAAGCCAGTGCTGGAACTGATAGCGGTGGTGACTGCGGAATCGATCGCCAGGCTCGCACTCCTCCTCGTCACTGTTCTCTCCCTCTCCCTCCGCTTCTGTATCATCCTCCGCGAAACACGTTGGGTAGTCGCTGTTGGCCCAAATAAAGACTGGTGAGGGACTACTGGAGCATGTCCGATCAGGCAACGGTTTGACACAGTTTGCTGAGTGAGACGTATGCATATTCTCCCCCTCAGTGACAGTAGTAGGCACCACAGTGTGACAAGGAGCAATCTGCCCACCGGTTGGGTTTCTTTTTGTGGTTAGCCCAACAGAGGAACCCCACATTGGCACGCTGCTCGTGATGGACGACGCGAGATGTGGTAAGGCATACTCATCTGTGCGACGGTGCGAATCATGAAAACTGCGCGTACTCCGCAGCGGCAGTGGCGACACCTCCCACGATAAGATGGTTCGTGACGCCGACAGCGGCGCTGCCTCATTCCTCATCTCCTCCTCTCGCAATGGTTGGAGAATAGCATCGGTGTATCTTGAGCAGCTCGCCACATCTGCATCGACCGAAACATCACAGGGATTGATTAAAATTCGAGGTGGGCTGCCTCCATCCCCGTCAACCTCGCTTAGGGCCGTCTCAAGCAGCGAGCACTCCGGTTCGACAGCAATGGTGGAGTTAACTTCGGCTCCATGACACATCTCGGTGTGGAAGGTGCCGGGGGTGTCATTTACTCGTTGACCTCCGAGGGAGAATGGCGAGATGCACAGCCGTGGCGATGATACCTCTGGTGCTTGAACGGTTTGCGAGTACATCACAACACACAAATCGGGGCGTTGAGGCACACGCGGCTCAGATTTCGTAGCGGACATTGGCGAAGTAATGCCGCGCCGCCGCAAATTTTCGCCAGCGTGAACCAGCGTCGCCTCCTCCATCTCCAGCGGAAGCGTGGCGCACCACTCCTCCGCGTAGCTGTGGTACGGCGAGTACGGGTTCTTGTTAGGCGGGAGATGGTCCCTGTGGCTGGTGGGCAGCGCGGTATCCAGAGGGGCCTCGCGTGACTCCACACTCATTTCGCACACAGACGACATGCGGCGGTGTGTTGAGGGCGTCATAAGCCTCGTCGGAGGGCGCCTCGCGGATTTCTGCGGCGTCTGCGGTACTGGTGTCCACCGCGGCGTCTGGGCCGAGGAGCACGGGATGATGTTCTCCACCGGCGTGCATGGCGTCTTAGGGTCCTTCTGCGTATTGGGCTGCTCCGCGCATTGGTCAGGCGAGGCCGACACGGGCAGCACCAGCGGTGCAGGCTCCTTGAAGACCTGTGTCACTTCGCCCATGTCGGACACGCGCAGCAGCTTGCTGGAGCGGGTCATAATCATAGCCGTTGCAGAGGCGTCCGCAAGGCGGTCTGGCATGTCGCACGGGGCGTAGCATATGTTGCTGCTCCACTCCCCCGGCAAAGCGGCGCCCATGAAATCATTTTCTAATTTCGCAGACACCTCAAACACGTCATGGTCTCCTAAATAAAATGTTGGTAGAAGTGAGGCCTTCTCTGTCTTGCACAAGTCCTCAGCAAAGCGACGTCGCTTAACAGACGATTCGGGGCTTAATGGGCTCCGCTGGCACTGGCGCTGGTGCTGCTGCTTCTCCTCCGCATCGTCATCATCCAAACCCTGCTTCTGTTCTTTCGCATGCTCGTGGCGCCAGTGGTTGAGCTTGGAGTCCACTGGCGTCAGCGGTGAGAGCGTCATCGGGTACACCACTCTCACTGCTGTTCGAGGATGCGTTCCTACTGTTGATAGTCGTGGTTCCTCCAGACTTACTGCAGAAGAGCACGGGGTGAACATACTACGTGGTGAGCAGCAGGGTTGACTTTACCACCGCGCTGCTGGGACCTCGTTCCTATTGCACCCACAGATGGTTCAAAGCACACAGGAGTGCGCGAATGGAAAATCACCAAAAGAAAAGGCAGGAAAAACAACAACAACAAAAAAAGGAATGAAAGCATAAACCAAAACAAACATCCATACATGAAGCCAAGTCATCACATATCACAGCAAAAAAGAAACCGTGTACCATTTCTCCTTGTCGACAGGGTCCGAAGACATGTGCTCCACAGACGTGAAGAACGAATAATGTCCAAGGGCGGTCGACTACGTAGGTCTATGCAAGCTTCTCAAAGTATTGCAGCGCTGCTTGACGCCACGTGGCGAGACTCGCATTTGCGCCCTTCTCGGCGCTGCCAATGGAGCCAAACACAAGAAGGCCGACCGTCGTAAAGTCGAACATCACTAGACCCGAGGAGCTAAGGAGGGGAATAATGACGTCTAGTACAAATGCATACAGCAACACCTCTGCAGCTGCAGCCGCAGCAGGTGTGGGAGTTCGCTCCGACTTCACTGGGGCTCGCTTCACATCAATTGCGCCTTTGAGCTTCCGCTGCTCCCCCCGCGCACGTGAAAGAACTGTCACCATCGACGGCGCAGCACCGCTCACCAGTTCCGCGAGGCGCTGTCGCTCCGCCTCGAGCAGGCGCCGCATGGCGGGAAGATCAACAGCGTGAATGATCCCTTGCTGGTCCACATCCAACAGGGAAAACGCTTTTCGCAAGATAGATGTCCGCGTCGTCAACGGCTTTTTCCGTACGGCAGGACGTCTCTTTCCACTTAACGCGCTGCACGCGCTCTGCATATCTTTCTGAAGCTTCGCCGCAGCTGCTGTATGGAGCGCCATCGCCTCGTAAAACTCATCCCGTTGCTCTGGAGTCAAGCGTGCACCCGTCAAGAAGAAGAGAGCGTCCTTCTCATGCGGTGGCCAAGCAACGCCAAGTGATGCGGCAAGTTTCGCCGCAGCAACACACGTGGGGCCGTCGAGGGTGCGCACAAATCGACCACTTCGCTCAGCTGGCGGTGATTCCCGCAGCGAACACAGGCGAGACGGTGACCGCCTTCTCGCGCTCGAGGGGCTGCGCGGCGAGTCAGCGCCACTGCCATGCGCTACTCGCGCGCGCCCAGAGACTGGCGGACTGCGCTGCAGGGGCTGATGCCGCTGCTGCTGCTTCTCGATGCTCATCTGCCGCTTTCGTGAGTAGGCGGCAGTGCTGAACGGGGACGCGGGCCGCGCCGAAACATCTCTCTCTATCTGGCGGCGGCCTCGTGGACGACGCATGCCAGCGAAGTCACTGACGGCATCAGCAGCATCCGTCCTCTGCCTGCTTGCAGTGTCGAACGAAACCGGGAGAGAGTCCGCCCTGCGTGCCTCCATGATGCGCTGGATAAGGCGCGCAATCTCCTCCCGTTGAATGTCGTTGAACAGACGCCAATGCTCTGTGTACAGCCTTGCTTGAAGAATACCTTCACTCAGTGTCATAGTACTAGACGGCGGTGGCACCACGTCGGCGGTGTGTGGGTACGGCAAAGGCACCACCTTCTCAGGGGTGAGAGGCGAGTCCTCGGACGGTGCCATCGTCGCCACGCACCGCTCATCAGATGTGCCACCACTGCCAGAACTCTTTGGAAGCGCCGTGGTGGTTCCCAATTCAACAATCGAGTCATCTCCACTGACCTGTTCGACCACAGGCTGTGGTACCGCTTTATTTCTGGGAGGCTTGGCCGAATCCGATTTCGTTTTAGCTGCAGTTGTTCTTCCCCTTTGAGACGTGGAGGGAATATTGCCTGTGTCATTTGCTGATGCCAACAACACTTCAGGAGTACCGCTGGTGGGAGCGCTCTGGTTCTTCTTGCTGCTGTCAACTCGCACAGATGCTGCACCAACCCCACTGCGTGATAAATTCGAGCTCGTACGGCTCAACCTGTTCGACACGACGGTCTTCTTTGACAGGGGCTGCTCACTCGTCTCCTTCGCTTCTATGCGAGGTGCTGGCTTTGTGTTTTGGTCTTCCGTGTCACCTTCAGTCTCAAACACAATGGTAGAAGCACTGCTCTTGGCGCCAGGAGACAACGACTGGCCAGCATCCCCGGAAGCGGCAGCAGCCTTGTGGGCAGCAGCATCGTCGGCGGATGATTCCTCCATCACCTGGAAGGTGATGCTCTCGTTGTGAGAGACATCTGATTGCAGGATCTGTTTTGGATACAAGGAGTTGTTGGACGCCTCAAAGTTGAACTGAATGGACTCATCGCCCACCTCAGACTTGCGGGCGTCCAGATGACCACGGCTCGACGTGCGGGAGACGCGCCCGTGCGCACCCGGTTGTGCAGCTGTGTGTGAATTATTAAAGTTTGGAAGTCGGGGAAGACTACAGATCGACATGTTTCGCGACGCACCCTCCGTGTGAAATTGGATACTCTCGCTGTGATCACTGCCGGCGTCGTCGTGGTCCGCGTCGCCGCCGTATGACGCATGCTGGCGACCAGGCACCTGCGACGATGATGGCTTCGTCACGGAGGTCCGTCGAGCTGCGTGGTGGAGCGGCGGTCTATCAAATGCTGCAGGCGTTGCTGTTGCCGTGTGGAGGTGAGCGGCGGCCTTTGGGAGGGCGCTGCCGCGCGCGGACTCTGTCTCACTCTGCTCGTGGAACACAATCGACTCGGAGTCACTCATCTGCTGTTTAGCAATCCAGCGAAGGGCGATACAGGAATCCTATCCACTTTTTCTTTGTGTTTAGGGGTGTGAGTGAGGCAACAGAGCTGAGAAGCGAAGAGCAGAAGGAATGCATAGATCTTGCCACTATGCAGTGTTAAGGTAGCACCCATTGCTGTCCCATTTCAATCGGCAGTGGTGCCTTCTCAGAAATAAGTAAAAAACATCAGCATCAGTGGGTGGAAAACAATACACATTCCACCAATATTAGTAGTGTTGTTCTAAAGAGTGGACATAAGTGACGCATGGCTTGTCACATGACGCAGAGTTTCATACCCGAGTGCAACCACGGCAAACAAAGAACAACAAAGGAGTAAATGGAACGTGTTTACACGGATTCCTAACTGCACCTTATGCACGGAGTTCTGGTATGATAAACCAGGAAAAAAAATCCATAAGCATGCGATTTTGCATGCTTTCATCTTCAATAGCGGTAGTTAGGATCCCTAGGGTTCGACGCATAACCAGCGGGCTGAAACAACATGGCGGGGTATGTGGAGCTCGATGGTGGCGGTGGCTGCTGCTGTTGCTGTTGCGGTTGTGGATAGTAGCCGGGTTGCTGCTGCTGTGGTGGTGGGTAGTAACCAGGCTGCTGTGGTGGTTGCTGTGGTGGATAATATCCAGGCTGCGGCTGCTGTGGTGGATAATATCCAGGCTGCGGCTGCTGCGGTGGTGGTGGGTAGTAACCAGGCTGCTGTGGTGGTTGTTGTGGTGGGTAATATCCAGGCTGCGGCTGCTGCTGTGGTGGTGGGTAGTAACCAGGCTGCTGTGGTGGTTGCTGTGGTGGATAATATACAGGCTGTTGCGGTGGTGGCGGCGAGTAGTAACCTGGTTGTTGCGGTGGTGGTGGGCTTTGCTGTGGGGCATAGGCCACTTGCTGCTCCTGCATTAAGACGCTAGGCACAACTGCCGGTCCCATTTTGGAATCAAGAGGTGTGTTGTTCACGTTGCTCGTAATGGTCACTGGGGCTGCGCCAGTCGGTGGCTTTGCGCCAGCCTTCACAACAGGGTCTTCATTGATGTCTGCTGTTACCTTCCACGCGTCCTCGGGCCTCGGGTCTTTGCCAAAGTCACACGCCAACAGACGAAGCCGCAGCTCTGCGTTTGTCTTGGAGTGCGACAGCAAATACCATGCGTCTTGCACCACACCCTTCGTCAAGTTCGCAACAGAGATGTTGTACGAGCCCATCACATCGTCGGAGATAATGTTCTTGTTCCACAACTCGACGCATATCTGAGCAGAATTCTCGTCCGCCACCTGAAAACGGAACGTCTCGTTCCATACCGGGTTGAGCGTGTTATCAATTACCTTTGTTTTGTACTTCGTAGAGCCCATATGCAGCCGGCAGTAGGGGTCCGGCAGGCTGATCACCTGGTTGTCGTGCAGGTTGCGGGCAGCACAGATACACACCTGCAGCTTTCCCATTTTTTTTTTTTGGTTGGAATGTGAATCTTCACTACAGACAGAGAACTTCGGTCAGAAGAAGAAAAAGGATAACAAAGACATATAATAAAACCGTCCAACCACCGCACCCACCACAGCCACACAGCTCCCCACACAGTTGCGCTGTAACTAAGCACCCACACAAGTCGCGTGTTACGGCCTCCAGAGAGCAGCTGCCTCCATCGGGACCATCTTGGGCGGGAACGTGTGGTGGCCCACAGGGCGTGACTGCGGCTGCGTCAGCGCCACACGGACCCGCAGCGCGAATTGCACGGAGTACGACGAGGCGCTTGTGAGGTACACGAGTCTGTCAATAACGTCACTGCCGCACTCAAGCGGGACGCAGAACTGATACTTGGCGAGGCAGTCGTCGGAGTTCGGGGAGTTGCGCCACAGCTCCAGCACAACGGTGGGAAGTCTGTACGGGGTGCCGAGCCACGGCGGTGCGAAGGCGTCCATGGCGATGCTGCCGCCGCTGCCACGCGGGGGTGGTGGGGGCGCGCGTCCGTAGTCTGGCACGGCGCACATAATCGGCGTGCTGCTGAAAGGCGGCGGTGCTCTTGATGGCATCAGGCCACCACGACCACCACCACCACTGCCGGCAAGCGAAACGGCCGCAGCCGGAGGTCGGCCGTCCAATCGGAACGCAAATACCTCATTCCACGACCTCTCATCGGCGTCGCTGAGGGCGCATGTGCGCTGCGCCTCGCCGCCAACGCGCGCCACAATGTACAGGCCGCCGTGCCTAAAATCACCTGCGTCTTCCGAGAGGACATCGAGCGTAAGGATGCGGATCCTTAAGGAGGAGGAAGGACTGCACATGTTCCAAAGAAGGAAAGACACCTGCCACCCTACCTTTGGAGCCCTTCTTTTGTGCGAAGGAAAACAACACCAAACACCCAAGAGAGAAGAAAAGGCAAAACTGCGC